AGAAACAATTATCTGAATTGATCGATAATTAGTTTGTCCTGTTTTAGAACCTTATTTGTATGTAATCATAGAGAGTATACTCTGTGGTGGGTAGCTTTTTTCGCATGGCAAAATTTTTTTACGATTTATCCATGTTGTTGCAATTATTGCTGAGTAGTCTATTGCAAGAATCTACACAGTTTATTTATCCATCTCCTGTTGAAAGACACCCTCACTATTTCTAGTTTGGGACTGTCATGAGTAAAGATACTACAATATTGTTTGCACAAGGATTTTCGGAGATGTTGGATTTTATTTCTCTTGGATAAGACAGAGGAACAGTATTGCTGTGTCATATAGTAGATGCACATTTAATATTTTCTTTTCTTTTTTTTTTAATTTTTATTTATTTATTTGAGACAGAGAGAATGAGAGACAGAGAGCATGAGAGGGAGGAGGGTCAGAGGGAGAAGCAGACTCCCTGCCGAGCAGGGAGCCCGATGCGGGACTCGATCCCGGGACTCCAGGATCATGACCTGAGCCGAAGGCAGTCGCTTAACCAACTGAGCCACCCAGGCGCCCCCATTTAATATTTTCTTAAACTGCTAAACAGTTTTCCAAGATATCATTTGCGATCATTTTACACTCTTACTGGCAATATGTTAGAGTTTCTGTCACTCTATGTCCTAATGCACATTTAGTTTTTGAGTCACTTTGACTTTGACCATTCTAGCATGTGTATAGGAGTGTATATCATGTTGGTTTTAATTTGCATTTTCCTGATGATTAAAAAGGTTGAGCACTAACTGCTACATCCTTTAGAATTTATTTCTTAGAAGCCACATGCCTCTGATGCTTTAATTGTACTATTCCTGGACAAAATTTTGCACATTTTGTTTAGTGTAGTTATTTTCATCTATTTAGTATATCAATTAGTAAGAAGACATTTTGATTTTGGTATCTTCTATGCCATACCAAAGTGTTATGAGGTATCCAAGTCACATGTTACTGGAAAAAAGCTTTAAGAAATGAAATTTATAAATGACTTTTTGCATTATACTATTTTATTCATTCCAATCAATTCAAATAATTATAAAACATGTAAAATTATGTAAAATCCTGTAAAAAATACAGGCTAAAAATATATAGTGCCTCAAATGTCATTAGAATCCTGAATTAGGTATATACCATACATAATAGTATCAGAATCTCAGAATTTCTTCAGATGAATCCATTTATTTTTCCTGAAAATAATGGGATTTAAAAAGGATAAATTGCTCCCTCGAGTTGGCATTTTGACAAATGCCTATACTGAAGATAAAATAAATGCTAAGCGGAAAGTATCTTTAGTATCTTTAAACAATACAAGATTATATATTTTATTTTCTCAGAGAATGCTTACAATGTAGTAACCTTTCTTACAATAATATTTCTGTTGAAGTAAAGCATAAATATTTGAAAAAATAGATTGTGAATAGTTTCTGTGAATAAAAAGGTCTTACCTCATCAGATGAATCATTAGTTTTTATAGGACGAGAAAAGCAGAAAGAAATATACCTTAATCTTATGATGTGGTTGAAAGTAAAATTACAACTGACCCTGAGTCATTATTATGATTAAACATAGAATTGATACATATCGTTGGGTAATTTGTGTACTAAACTAGCTGTTTCTATTTAAAGACTTATTATAAAACTAGTAGTAAACATAGATTAAAATGAAGATGTTTCCTAAGTTCAAAAAACAAGAGTTTCTTAAATTTAAATATTTGTTTTGGGGGCGCCTGGGTGGCCTTCCGCTCAGGTCATGATCCTGGGGTCCTGGGATGGAGTCTTGCATGAGGCTCCCTGCTCAGTGGAGCGTCTGATTCTCCCTCTCCCTCCTTCTGCCCCTCCCCCTCCCTCTGCTCGTGCTCTCTCTCGCTGGCCCTGTCTCTCTCAAATAAATAAATAAAAAAACCCTTAAATAAATAAATAAATAAAGATTTGTTGTTTTGCTTATAGGTTCATTATTCTGGCTTTTCTCCCTTTCTTTTCTGCTATGCTTTCTTTCCTCTCTCTCTTTCTTTTCCATGCCATGTGAGGTGGTAAACTTTGGTTTCATAATTCATTTGTAATTTTAAATTCAGAGTACAGCACATGTTAGTATTTGGAATATTGCCTCTAATTACGTATGACTTTCCTAGTAGCTAGATACAAGGAATACCTGAGGTAGAAGTTTCTTCTAAATTTACCAGAAGCAGAAGAGAGGTCCAGAGAAGATATACGATGGGCCTACAGACACCATTGGACTCAGGTCAGGAAATACTGACTTTTATTCCAGTGATTTTTGCATTTAAAAGCATTCTGTCTGTAGTGAGCAATCTTTTTCAATTTTGATTTTGAGCCAAATACATCTGTGTGTGTGTGTGTGTCTATGTGTGTAAATATATTTGGTCACCTTAAGGAAATTTTGTAAGCTAATTTGAGGAAAATTTGTGAAAAATATAATTGAATGAACATAGATAAATACAAACATAGTTCAGATCACAAATATATTAGATACTGTTAATGTAATGAATAAGAATTTCTCCTCTAAATTTTCTCATGTAGTTATAGGCATTGCAACCATCAGAACAAAATAAAGGTAATAAGGAGACACTTGATTTTATCTGAGCCTCGATAAAGTAGATGTGATAAAGTACTAACTCACTCATTCCTTGGTTAAACATATACTGAACATTCTGTGTTCCAAAATGTTGCGAAACTAGTGGTACAAACAAAATAAAGGTTATATTCCCTGGTTTCAAGGAGCTGAAATTCTCATGAATTTATACAAGATAGGTTACCCAAAATCCTGCAGGGGGAATATACTTAAAATTCAAAATGTTATGAGATCCTGAAATGTTCCTATCACCCAAACTAATAAAGCAGGGGACATCTAGGTAAAAGGATTGGAGTAAATGTTGTGCCAAACCCTACAATATGAGGATGGTTACAGAAATGAGGACGTGAGGAAATGGAAGGTGTTGGAACGCTGAGAAGACATAAGAATGAGAGAGACTATAGTGTGGAAGAAGAGTAGAGAGCTGAGTGTGAGAGAAAGATTAGCAGGAGCTGAAGTAAAGGCTCACAGGGGCTAAGAGTCTATATCTCATTTTGGGGCCGGAGGGCAGCATGAAAAACTTTAAGCTGACATGTGATGTAAGAAGAATTGCATTTTAAATTAATCACCATGGCATCGATATAGAAAAGGACTAAGGGAGGGGCAAAACAGCAGACAGGATAACCGTTTAAAAGGGTGTGAATAGATTGGTATGTAATTGTGAGGGCTCCCTTGTAGACATGGCATTGGGGTGATGATTAAGAAACGGACTGCAGAAACGTTTAAATCATATTAGTTTCACCTGATTTTGAACTTCATATAAATGGCATACAGGATATATATCCTTTTGGACTTGGTTTCTTGCACTCACGTCTCTGAGAGTCATCCATGTTATTGCATGTGGTGATAATTGCTTTATTTCCGTTGCTGAGAATAATCCATTGTTTGAGTAAACTGTAAACCATCTATTTTCCTGCTCATAGACATTGGGGTTGGTTGTTTTTTGTTTTTTGTTTTTTTTTTTGCCTTTTATGAAGAGCAATGTTATGAACTTTCTTGAACATGTCTCTTGATGGGCATTAGCACTTAATTTTTTTTTTTTTGGTTATTAAAAAATTTTAATCATCAAACACATGAAGAAGTAATAATGACCCATACATTATTTTACTTTTTTTTTTAAAAGATTTTATTTATTTATTTGACAGAGAGAGACACAGCGAGAGAGGGAACACAAGCAGGGGTAGCGGGAGAGGGAGAAGCAGGCTTCCCGCTGAGCAGGGAGCCCGATGCGGGGCTCGATCCCAGGATCCTGGGATCATGACCTGAGCCGAAGGCAGACGCTTAACGACTGAGCCACCCAGGCGCCCCATATTTTACTTAGTTCTTAACTGCCAATTTTTAATCATTTATTTATATTAAGAGCACTGGATGTTATTCAAAATATAAAATATTAAGAATATCTTAATGAGGATGCCTGGGTGGCTCAGTCAGTTAAGCATCTGCCTTCGACTCAGGTTGTGATCCCAGGGTCCTGGGATCGAGTTCCACATTGGGCTTCTTGCTCTGGGGGAAGTCTGCTTCTCCTTCTGCCTGCCACTCCCCCTACTTGTGCTCTCTGTCTCTCTCTCTGACAAATAAATAAATAAAATCCTTAAAAAAATTTTAAAAATAAACTAAAATCTTTAGAAGACATTTCTACATTATATAGGATGATGATTAGAATATCTAATACTATTAGAATATTTATTGTATCCCAGCATTTTGTTATATAGTTTACATAAATGCCTGAAATGTCTTCACAAAAACCCTTCAGTCAACAGTGTATTTCTATGTTTATATTTCAGTTGATGGTACACTAGCTTACTGGGATTAAGTACTTAAAAATTATTACACACATAAAAAGTGGTGGAGCAGGTGTTGGAGGATAAATTTCCTGATTCCAAAGCCTGTGTCCTTTCACTGAGATACACATGTCTCCAGCCACAATATAGGTTCTAAGAACTCCTGTGGTAAGAAAATAGTCTCTAAGGGACTTTAATTTTGAGACATCAAGTCATGTCATACTGTCAAAGAGAAGGTGAAGCATACTTGCAGTACATGGCTTCCAAAGTAGTCATTTGTGAAAAACCAAAAACAAAAAGAAAAAACAAAAAAGACCCAGAAACCAAAAAAACCCAACACATTTTGAGATTTGCAACTGTTTCAAAATCAATCAGATAATTAATTGTTCAAAATCATTTTTCTTAAATGATCAATTAATATCTATTTGCAAAAACAATTACTTCATATTGACCTTAGACACAGAACTATGTGACAGAAATATGATTTATTTTGAATGTGATTTAAAGCATTTATTTGGAATTAAATTATACTGATAATTTGGGGGAGGCCAAAGTGGTTGTTCCTTTATTTAAAGTATAAGTTTATTTGAAAGTTACCAGTTGTTTCAGGTAATTCTTTTCTTCATCACTCATCTCGACTTCCTGTTAAGAACCCAAAGCAACTGTTATAAAAGTACAAAAGAAATCACTACTGGGTAATATTGCACGTATTTCATTTCGATAAAAATTACTTACCTCGGGGCCTACTTCAGTGGATGCCTTAGGGAGAGAAAACACAAATCAGCTCTACTTGGATGACACAACAGTAATTGCTCTAACTAACTATAGTAGAGGAGCTAGGGCTAAGGGAACAGTTCAGAGCCAACCCATTGCTTTTGAGAAATACAGTCCTAATTACTGATGGAGGATTTAACCAGGAAACGCTCAACACTAAAACTTTCATTCTGAGAGTACACTCCGTGTTAACCTAACTAACACGTTGCCGAGGGGATGTTTCCTTACAGTCTCCGCTGTGTCCGTGCAAACAGTGAAGAAGGAGCATGGAGAGTGGGCAGATGACTCGGTGAGCACAGGGGCTGGTGAGGTGTGAGGTAAGGGAAGCCTGCATGTCATTTCTGGAGGTGGCACAGCCTCTCAGTGTGAGACTGAGACACGAGGCGACAGCGATGATTCCCAGTATGATTCCTAGGGCTCTGATGAGGAAGACTTCGGTCTGTGCCACAGGCCACAAGACATCAGGCCACGATCCATGCTTCACCACCTCCCAGCAACCTTCCCAGTGTGCTCGCCCACCCAGCTCTTCTGTCACAAGAGGTAGTTCTTTTACCACTCACCCACAGCTTATCTGACCCACCGCGCGACTCAACCCTTAGTTCATGTTGGGAGAGGAAAACCCCGTGAAAACAATTTCCAGGCTCTTTTTCACATATGGGGCTGTTTTTAAAAAATGAAGTTTCCAAAGAATCAGAGTAAAACGGGCATTATCCAAGAATATGCAATAGAACAGTTAATTTTCACTAAGTGATGGTGAATTTATAACCCCCACTAACTTTGAACTGAGCATATGTATTACACAGTTTTTCTTTATTTTTGTTGTATATTTTGATGTGACTTTGTTAAAAGGTTAACGGCTTCTAAGTTGCCATTAAATAGCATGACAGCTGGAAAATGTGCTGTCCTAGATGGATCAGTTGTTTTCTTGACTTTAAAGGAAGTATTACTTAAAAAGTGAGCTGTGAAAGTGTCCTTGAGAAATTAAAACAATGGGTAAAACTAATCAAAATCTGAAATCCAGGAGTGGAATCTGCTGCATTGCCTCTTTTTGACCAGCAGTAGTAGGATAAAATTTGATGGTACCAACATGGTCATTCGTATGGCAGACATACCATAGGAATAAGATAAGGAATAATGTAAGGAAAAAGAAATTGTCTTTCAAAAAATTGTAAAATCGGTCTAATTTTCAAAAGCAGTGCAATATACAAAAAATGTAATTAGATATAAATTAAGAGCTTGAATGAGAGAATTAAAAACAATTTTAGGAAATACAATCAAGGGGTCAAAAATTGCATTTCTTAATGCAATTAAAATGTTGTTTTTATGGTTTGTTAAGAGAAGAAATTTGCAAGTATAACACTTCTTCTCATTAATATTTCAAACCAGATATAGCCACGTATATAAATAGAAATACCTTACCATATCAACAATCTTCCTTGAGGTTTCCTTAAAGAAAAGGAAAGTAAGCTCATTCTCATTCTATTAGTTATACAGAATTTCTGTTGGGATACACCAAGAAAACCCATGTTCCGTAAAGAAAGAAGAATAATGCATTCATATCCACTGTTGGAATTGTATCTGAATTCTCCAACTGGAAACACACAATCAGTGTTTTACTAGTATGCTATATGGGGTATGATATCCTTCTTTTATTTATTGTTGTATCCCTAAGATCTAGAATCATATAAGGAACTTAGTACTTAATACACATTTCTTAACTAAATATACACAGAAGTTTAATTTACTTACAATATGAAGAAACATTTAAATGGTACTGTGTTTACTGCAATGTACTTTAAGTGGGTATTTGTATGTAGAACTATTCCTTCAAATCAGTGTTTTGGGTGGTTTTTATGTAAAATTTCCATGACAGTAAATTTCAGGAAAAATATTTGGTCAGTATTTGCTTAGGTAAGCAAATATAATCGCAATAAATGAGAAGTGTAGGATTTTGTAAAAATCAAATCCACTAAACGATAAGATCTCCTTTCCTCACTGGAAACAAGGAATTTAGTTAATCATTTTGAAGCGGGAGAGCGAGGTTCTTGTCTCATGGAGTCAAGATTGAATCTCGTGTACAGAGGAGAGTGAGTAAAGTGATACAGTTTTATTAAGCAAGGGCACAGAAAAAGCTCTCAGGAGTGAGAGGGGTCCAGACAGGGTTGGCAATGTGGGTTTCCACTGACAGTCTTTTATTTGGAATTGACCAGGGAACTTGTGGCCCTAACATTCTTGTGACGTCTTGGTTTGAGTAAGGACTGGTGATAACCTCTTTAATGACTTACTTCTTTGGGTCTGGTTATTCTTTGTTGTTCATAATGTGACTGCCCTCTGATGCCCAGGGCAGGGTGGTCTGGTTTGTTCCCTTATCTCTCTGAGAAATGCCTCAGCATTTCTGGGATTTTTGGTGAGCCTGATGAGGTAGGCCCTACATGAGTCTAGTCATGCAGTCCCCTCTACCTATCCCTCCCTCCTTAGTCCTGCCTGTCCCTTACTCAATTTGAGTCCTGCATTTATTAAAGTAATGTAAGTAACACACATTATATAACCAATAAGAAATTTAGAAGTAACTTTAAAATTTGATTTAATTTTAGTATTGTGACTTACTTCCTGGGAGATGCTGATAGATTCCTTAGAAGAAAAGAGAAATAATGCATTTCATTCACTTATCCATTTATATGTTAGTTTTCCACCAAGCAGTTTCCCATTTTATCATAAATGAAACACAGAGGAACAAAAGAAGGCAAATCCTTAGGTAGCTGAGGGTGTCTTTAGGCATTTACCTTATGGACCATTGGTAGGAAGATATTTGGAAACTGGAGCTTAATGTATGAACTTGAGTCCTCACTCCAGTTGGGATTCCTCTCACCCATTTTATAAAATTGAGGATGGGCACCAGGACTCCTGAAGTCATAGTATTATTTAGTGATTTCTAGCAAAGACAATGGCATTGGACATTTCTGCTAGGTCTGGTAGCATACAAATAGAATCTTGCTAATTTTGATTATGTAGGGTTAGTCTGCTGCCCTAAATGTTTCCGATCATTGCCACACTTTCTAGTTTCATTTTCCATAATTCCCTAACTAACTTGTACAGAACTTAATTAATATCTGCTTCTGGATGCCATGTTGTCTTCACAGGAGAGCCCCTCACCTCACTGGCAGAGTGGTACTTTGTTTTCTATATAAAATTAGAGAGTAATTTTCAATTTTATGGTCTAATGAAATGACCAGCATGTGAGATATCTTCCCTCTTTAGGAGGAATTTAGTTGAATTGGGCTTCCTCACCAAATTCTTGTGGTTTCCTATAATAGTAATATAGAAATATAACTCTGTAATTGAAAGAAATTATTGTTCTAACTTAGTGTATTTATTGTATTTAGGAGCTGCTTTAAGTGTTTGATTATAGATATTAAAGTTGATTATAGATATTAAAGTTTCAAAGCTTTTCTATTTCAGATGAAAAAACCATTTTGACATTTAGGATGTTCCTTAAGCATGTGGCATTCAAACAAACAGCACAAAAATTTATTTCCCCTAACGATGGCCATGATATCTTTAGCCTCCATGGACCATTTAAGAAAATCATTCACAATTTAAGAAATAGGAAGCACAGAAAGGGAGATGATTTACGTAGTCTCATAGTTTGGGTATGGCAGGTCTGGGACTCAATTCCAGGACTTCTGACTCCAATTCTCATATTGTTTACAATTAAGTGCCTGCTTCCTATATTCAGTTTCCTGTTCTATCACTTATTCCTCATGTTTGAAAAATCCACTAGCCAAAGGTGATTACAGATGTAAGTGGAAATATCAACTGGACTGTATGTAGGCAAATTATTTCATTTCTTTAATTTCAGTTCCCCTTGTAAAATAGAGATGAAATTCTCTACCTCTGCCTTCCTCAAAGACAGCTGTCAGATTCAAGTAAAATAACATAGAAATAAATACTAGGACAGTTCAACTTATCCTGACTCATAATTGGTGTTAGCTATAGTATTAAACTATAAATTTATAGTGTTTTGACTATATGCTTTGTGACCTCATTTCATTAAAAAATTATATTTAAGTTTGTTTTACTCTCTGAATTTAAAGGGATTGAAACATCTTTTCCTCCCTTGTTAATTTTTTTGTTTTCACAAGAAAGTAAGAAACAAACAAACAAAAATGTAGAACTCACCAGAAGGGGAAACAGAGGATAGTCATTTGTCTTAATTTGATTCCATGGGTTCCTAAGTATATGATGTTGATTATAAGCCTGAAGATACTGGGGAAGGTTCAACTTCTGATAAAACTGATTGATTTTGCTCTGAAATGAAACAAATGTATCAATATTTTTTTAAAAGGCCTTAAAATCTATAAAGTTTTTATTTATTTATTTTTATTAACATATAATGTATTATTTGTTTCAAGGGTACAGGTCTGTGATTCATCAGTCTTACACAATTTACAGCGTTCACCATAGCACATGCCCTCCCCAGTGTCCATCACCCAGTCACCCCAGCCCTCCCACCCCCCACCACTCCAGCAACCCTCAGTTTGTTTCCTGAGATTAAGAGTCTCTTATGGTTTGTCTCCCTCTCTGGTTTCGTTTGTTTCATTTTTCCCTCCTTTTCCCTATGATCCTCTGTCTTGTTTCTCAAATTCCTCATATCAGTGAGATCATATGATCCTTGTCTTTCTCTGATTGACTTATTTCACTTAGCATAATACCCTCTAGTTCTATCCATGTCATTGCAAATGGCAAGATTTCATTTTTTTGATGGCTGCATAATATTCCGTTGTATATATATACCACATCTTCTTTATCCATTCATCTGTTGATGGACATCTAGGCTCTTTCCATAGTTTGGCTATTGT